TCCTTCATCCCTCCAATTCCACTTCCGGCCACTATCTTCCTCCCTGCCAATCCATATATATATTGTTAGAGCATTTCAATTTCACCTTTCAATCAATAATATTCTTCAGTTTATTATTATTTAATCGTTTTCCATTTATACTCACCCGAAAGTAAAGGAAATACTGGCAATTCCAGAGGCTTCTCAGGCGCACCAAGCAACACAAGTTTGCCGTTTGGCTTCAGTAGACCGATCAAAGGCAAAAGAGCATGCACTGCAGAAACTGTGTCTATTATGCCATCAAAGATGCCCACCGCAGCCTGCACAGAGTACAAATAAAGATGACATTAATAAATCAAATGAATAAGGTCTTATCTATAATATATGTATATTATGATTATATACATCAGCACACAAAAATATACATTCACCTGCATCTGATCTTGCTCACGGCTGACAATAAAGGAATCAGCTCCAAGATGTTCAATGGCTTCCTTCTTCTTGTTAGGAGAAGTGCTTATGACAGTGACCTTAGCTCCAAAGGCTTTGGCAAACTTGACAGCCATATGGCCAAGCCCACCGAGACCAACCACACCCACATGAAGGCCAGGCTTGTCCAGACCAAAGTACCTCAAAGGGCTATACACAGTGATCCCGGCACAAAGCAGAGGACCCGCAGAATCAAGAGGCAAAGCATCTGGAATGCGAACCACGAAATGCTCATCTGCAACCATAAAATCAGAGTAACCTCCGTATGTGATAGTCCCATCCACGTACTCGGCTCCATATGTGAGAATATACTTTGAACAGTGATTCTCAAGATCGTCAGAACAACTTCCGCAGGATCTGCACGAACCAACCAAACATCCCACACCGACTCTGTCTCCAACTCTGAACTTGTCCACCTTGCTTCCAACTTCCGTCACCACCCCAACAATCTCATGCCTGTATCGAAGTTAATGAGTTTCATTTTCAAACATTCGCAGAGGTTTATATATACATATTGGGCATATGTACGTACCCAGGTACGAGTGGGTAGACGGAAGAGCCCCAGTCGTTCTTGAGCATGTGGAGGTCGGAATGGCATATTCCACAGTAAAGGACTTTGAAAGTCACATCTTTGTCTGCGGTTTCTCTGAAAAAACGAAATAGAAAGTTCATGTTAGTTAAGGATGAAATGAAGAAGGGAATAATAAGGATGCAAAAGATTGAATAATGAAGGAATTTTTATATATGCCTTCGAGAGAAGTTGAAAGGAGAGAGAAGGCCAGAAGAATCCCTAGCAGCCCATCCGAAGGCCTTCCTGGGATGCTCAAACTCAGCTTGTGCTACGGCCATTTCAACGCTCAAACAGATCACAACGAGAATATTATGGACAGATCAGAGAGTATAGCAGACAGAAAAGAGACAGTGAGAGTGAGCTTAGTGAGAGAGAGGAGTAAGTACGAGAAAGGATCGAAGGTGGTGGTGCTTATTTATGAGTGAGAAGGGGAGGGTTGGTGACTTGGGGTTGACGAAATCGATGACGCACACGTGACGTCACTGCTGACGAGGTTGTTTTATTTTGTCTTTTAACTTTTCGACGACATGCGCCCTAAAAAAAGGAGAAAGGAAGTTCAGCCGTTTCTTGGCAAACACACGAACAAGTAGGAGTTGGATCCACTCCAAGATACCCTCCCCATCCTCTTTTCCTTCCTTACTCTCATTTTTAATTTTTTTCCTTCACAACTATTCAGATTTAATATTTTATAAAAATAAATATGATTAAAAAATAGATAAAAAATTTAAACGGTTAAAATAGAATATGAACAGTTTACAACTGTGTAACAAAATTAAAAAAAATTTGTTCTATAATAAAAGTATGCTATTGTGAACTATTTAAATTGGATTTTAACTATTTAAATTTATTTATCTATTTTTTATAATAATATTTATTTTTATAAAATATTAAATATGGATTATTGAAATTTTGACTCAATAATTGTAGAGGGCCCAAAAAGGAGAATAATGGAGGGGAGGATAAGGAAAGGACGGTGGAGAGAATCCGAGTCCAAAAGCATTTGCAGGTCAAATGAAATTCTAATGATGATCAGGGGGAAAAAACAAGAAGTGGGTGAAATTCTAATGATAACGAAGTTTGACCCGGGTAACAATCTTCTTGCTGCAGTAATATACTACTTCCGGTCCTAATTATAAGAGTTAGTTGATTAATTTGAAGAGATTAAAGAAGTAAGTTGAGTTAGTTATTTGCTCTAAATAGGTGTTGTCTTTCCTAAAATATCCTTGTTAATCAAGTGTATTGATTAGAATTATTATTGTTAGAAGGGTTATTTTGAAAAAAAATATATAAATATGAGAAACAAAGTAGATTGGGGTGTTATATTTAGGACCAAAATAGAAGTCAAATAGGGTATTATATTAAGGACCGGAGGTAGTACATGCTAACTCCAGTATTAAATATAAGAGCTTGTTGATTAATTTGAATAAATTAAAAAAATAAGTTAAATTAATTATTTATAATAAATAACTGTTATCTTTTTTAAAATATATTTATTAATCAAGTGTGTTAGCTAGAATGTACCGTTATTAGAAATATTATTTTAAAAAAATGGATAAATATAAGAGATAAAGTAGATTGAGATCTTATATTTAAGACTAAAATAAAAATCAGACGATGTCTTTTATTAAGGACAGAAGGTAGTATTAATTAGTCAAAATTTTGTTTTAATACATGTTTTATCGTTAAAACCTTTATTTTGTTTGTTTGTTTTAAATTTGAACATGTGATATGAATGTTACAGAAAGTTAATAATACCCACTACAAATAATTAAGTATGTTTTGAGTCAGTCCGGGTGAGCTTTTTTTTAAGTGTATGAATGTTACAATTAAAGATTCAAATCAAAATAATGTATTTTCAAATAGTGAAAATATCATCTTCACGTCTAGTTAGGAAGTCACTTAAAAATATTGACAATTCAACATTTCTATTTGTTTATATGAGTGTTTGATTTAACTTATTAGTTGATTTTTAAATTAATTGAGTCAACTAATTAACATAAGTGATAACTATATATATATATATATATATATATAAAAGGCCGATTCGTGTGCTTTTGAAGCATTTTAAAAATATACATATTAATCATGGGGACTAACTAATTAATTATTTCAAGTTATTATTCCTTTGATTTTTAATGTATATAAGACCTAATTATTGAGTCGAGCTTTAATCCAAAATGTAAGATTTATTTTTCATATTTATTAGTTTTTTCTAAATTACCCATATTGATACTTTTTCAACCATAATTAAGTAGAAAATGGAGAGAAGATATTAAGAAAGATAATTATGATGTTTTAGAAAAAAAAAATCATATTTCTTATAAATAATTAATTTACTCAAATTTTTTAATCTAATTGAATTAATTAAGTAGATCTTATATTAAAAATCGAATAACAGAAAGAATACTAAAGGTTTCGACAACTGCCTTCTAAACAATAACATCATCCCCAATACTTAGTTTAACATTTTTGAGCAACTTTTTATATAATGATTTAATAGGGTTCAACACTTTAATACTTGCTTTTTTGTCTAGTTAAATTGATCTTATTTTGCATAATGCTAAATATTCCTTCAAAATTAATTTATTGGAAAAATATTGGTACAAATTAGGACGATGCCATTTTGTCCATCCTTACATACATTGAATGTTGTGTCTTCATTTTTTGTTATGATCGGAATAATATCAATCTGAATTTTATTTATATATGTTGTCAAACGTCTTTCTTATTTGGTATCACCATTCAAATTATTTATAAACACGTTCCATGTAAGTCAGGACAAAACTCTTGTTATTTACCTCATATTTCATAAATTACGATTAAAAAATTGTTTATAAATTATTTTAAACGGGTTTTTTGAATTTTTTTTTTTCAGGTTCATGGAATCTATGTTGGACTAGAACTGGTAATTTTCTTCCCAGTAATATAACGGCTATCATCATGCAGGAAGTTAAAAGGACGTGGCGGCGGCACTTAATATTTTTCTCCAATTTTGAAGTGAAAACTTATATGAAGCTTCTTTTCTTCATGGCTATCAGTAATAGGTTTGATAAATCATCAATTAGCGGACTTGTTAACGTCTCGATTAGCTTTTTCAAAATAATTTTATGATGTATAAATAAGTATGTAAAATTTTTTTCTCTTGACTTGTATGAAAATATTTTTGAGAAGAAGATGAGGCTGCCAATGGTGGAGATAACGATATGCTTAGCTCTTATAATTTTCAAATAAAAATATTTTTTTTAAAAATATTTTTATTTGAAAATACACCAATCAAAAGTAAGTCACATCAAATCAAATAACAGTTCAAGAACAACTTACAAATATATTAAAAAATAAAAGATTAAAAGTATTTAATTTTTTTTAATAATGTGGAATCATCTGCATAAATATCGAAGTTAGAAAAAGAATTTTGCTTTTTTTTTTAATCGAAACTGAATCCATTGCTCAAAAGAGAATGCAAGCTGTACAAGACTACAAAAGTAAATCTGAAAAGTAAACGTAAGAGAGATTTTATATAATTTAACTGAATTTATGTGACCTACAATTTGAGAGAGATTTTATATAATTTGATGTTTATGCCAAGTATTTAGTAAATTTTCCATTTTGATCATAAAGAAAAAGTAAATTTGCCATAACTTAATTAAAATCTCTAAATTATATTTATACAGGTGAAAAAATAAAAGAAAAACTTAAAATTATTAGTAAACAGCAATTAGATGAGAACGCTATGACAGCAAAATCATATTCTCGGAGTAATTGTTTTTCGCAATTTCTTAATTGAACCCTAAAGTATAAAATCTCAAATCGGGATAGCCCATCCGAAAAGTTACATCCTGTTCTTCAAAATTTCTCCTATACTCGCCGTTTACATCGCATCCAGAGCTCCGATCGCCCTCCAACTGCATCCTTCGTCTCATTTGTTGCCCTAATTTGTGAGTTCTCTACCTTGACCTGCAAAATGGTGTCTGGCTTAATAAATGCTAATCCTATCATCTACGAAAAGATTAAGAGAGAGGGCCGAGCTCGCACTACGCCCACCTTCGCTGATGACGATGTTCCGGAACCGATTGATCAACAAGGAGTTTTTGATATTCTTTTCAACCATCAATTTATATGTATGTTTTGTGTGCTTCTGTTTTTGCAATTTTAAGGTCAGTTTGCTTAACATTCTGAAATCACATAAGGGATATTAGAGACCCAGAGTATCCAAATTCCTTGGAAGAGCTCAGAGTAATAACTGAAGATGCGATTGAACTTGATGATCAGCATAGTTATGTGGGGTATCGCACCGTTCGTTCATCTTTCCCCTCTCGCTCTTTGGCCTTAATTATGTCTGTCGAAACTTCCTTGTTATTTGGGATTCTGGTGCTTTGCGTTTGGGTTAAGTTTACTCCTACACTTGAATATTGTGCCGTGCCGAGTCCCATAGGTCTACGCCTACGGGTGAAACTCATGAGGAGCCTTCCTTCACGCTGCAAGGTATCGATATCTGTTTGCAGCTTGCTAATTTTTTTCGGGCTAATAATCTACTGTACCGACAAAATTGTTGTGGAAAATTGCGTCTTGACTCTTGACTCATGTATGCATTGAAAATCTTAGGGAGTGTTTGTATGGAAACCAAACTATAGTTTTTAAAATGCTTTTACGGTTTACAAAGTAAATATGTGAAGAAATTTGTCTTGTTTTACAGAAAAATGCTTCTAAAAAGTTCTTTTGAGGGTTGCCAAACACCCCTTAGTATGCCATATTGTGAATGTGGCTTGTCATATTAGATTTCAGAAAAGTGAAAGCAATACAGATAGACCTGTGGGTCCATGCAACATGCAATAACATTCTGTTTGATTCAATATCATTGTGGTTGCTTGCTTTTACCATTATACTATCTCGGGTTCTAAATGTAACAATTAGTTGACTAATTTGAGTAGATTAAGAAAATAAGTTAAACTAGTTATTTATAATAAATAGGTGTTGTATTTCTTAACATATCCTCACTAATCAAGTGTATTAATTACAAATGGGTATTATTCATGTACTTTAGAAATATAAAAAATGTTTACTGTTTAACCCCATAGAAATAATACTAATAAATATGCTTACTGTACTACATATTATTTCTTGCTATCATAGGAATAATTTAAACTAAATTTAAATGAAATATTATAAAGATATTCTTTACCGTCATATCCAAACTAAAGTCTTCCCCCCCCCCCCCCACCCCCAAAATTGTCCAAATCTAGCAAGTTGAGGAACAGATTTCCCATGACTTATTGGGGAATTGTCCTTGTCCCCCTGATGACATAAAATGAATATAAAAAAAATTCTTTGGACTTGTTCTTAATTAGTTAATTTATAGGTCTACTAATTAATTGCATTAGGATGTTGCATGTGGCTTGAAAGTTTGACCCCACATATTGATTTTGTTGACACTTTTTTTTTTTTGGTAAGAGATTTTGTTGACACTGTTAGCATTCATTCTCGCATGTGAAATTTGGCATAATTACTAATCTAGCTTCCATCAATAACTTTCAGCAGGCTACCTTAACTATGCAACAACACATTCTTAACTATTAGGAGGCAAGGTCCGTCTATGTGTAGGAAGGTTGGATTAGGTATGAGTAACATGTGGCAAGCTTGGATAAGATTTGTATTTCAGACTTTATTTTGTATCCCTTTTTTCTTGTATTACATCACATCAAATTCTTAATATACTCCTTTGATTCTAAATATAAAACCCTTATACTAGTGTATATAAGGGTCTTATATTTAGAACCAGAGAGAGTAAGATTTACTTTGAGTAGATTACAAAAATTAGTTAAGTTAGTTATTCGTAACAAATATGAATTGATTTTTCTAAAATACCCTTTTTAATTATGGTTACCTTGAATCAAAACAATTTGACATATATAATTAATAAGGATATTTTAGAGAATGCATTATAAATTTGAGGGATAAAATGGATTGAGATTTTACATTTAGGATCAAAATCAATTTCTAACTAGCTAGTATATTAAGGATGTCTGAGGTAGCATATATATAGTAGGTAATCTACGCGTATTTTTATATGCATCTACATATACATACATGTAATAAACTTGCTTGACTTTTCCACAGTGAACTCAGAGAGTCACGAACATTTAAATTCAATTAAGTAGGTGTGGAAGCAATCCATTCCTTTCTTCCATAATCAAAACAAATTAACACAGGCGAATCTAATAAAAATTATTGGACAACAACTAAACCTTCTTGCGTTTGTTTATTCAGACAAAATAAGACATCCAACATACACTCCTCAAATCAATATGATTATATGACAGTAGGCTGAATAATAGACAAGGAACATTTATATAATGATTTATCACACTTCCAAATCAACTCTCATCCGCTGCACTAATTAATTAATCAACCAGCTATTTCTTCCCCAAAATCTCGAATCCTATATGTATATATGGATGCAGATCTCTAAGAGGTTGGCTTCATCATTGTGTTGCCAATGTCAATCACAAAACGATACTTGACATCAGCTTTAAGGAGTCGCTGCATTGCAGTGTTCACATAATCCATTGGAATCACTTCTATGTCTGGTCTCACGTTATGCTTGGCTGCAAAATCTACCATCTCTTGCGTCTCCTTCATCCCTCCAATTCCACTTCCGGCCACTATCTTCCTCCCTGCCAATACATATATATATTGTTAGAGCATTACAATTTCACTTTTCAATCAATAACATTCTTCAGTTTATTATTATTTAATCATATTCCATTTATACTCACCCGAAAGTAAAGGAAATACTGGCAATTCCAGAGGCCTCTCAGGCGCACCAACCAACACCAGTTTGCCATTCGGCTTCAAAAGACCAATCAAAGGCAAAAGAGCATGCACTGCAGAAACTGTGTCTATTATGCCATCAAATGTGCCCATCGCAGCCTGCACAGATATGTACCAAATAAACATGACATTAATAATCAGATGAATAAGGTCTTATCTATATATACATTATATATATATATACATTAACATATATATATATTCACCTGCATCTGATCTTGCTCACGGCCGACAATAAAGGAATCAGCTCCAAGATGTTCAATGGCTTCCTTCTTCTTGTTAGGAGAAGTGCTTATGACAGTGACCTTAGCTCCAAAGGCTTTGGCAAACTTGACAGCCATATGGCCAAGCCCACCGAGACCAACCACACCCACGTGAAGGTTAGGCTTGTCCAGACCAAAATACCTCAAAGGGCTATACACAGTGATCCCGGCACAAAGCAGAGGACCTGCAGAATCAAGAGGCAAAGCATCTGGAATGCGAACCACAAATGCTCATCTGCAACCATAAAATCAGAGTAACCTCCGTATGTGATAGTCCCATCCACGTACTTGGCTCCATATGTGAGAATTTGCTTTGAACAGTGATTCTCAAGATCGTCAGAACAACTTCCACAGGATCTGCACGAACCAACCAAACATCCCACACCGACTCTGTCTCCAACTCTGAACTTTTCCACCTTGCTTCCAACTTCCGTCACCACCCCAACAATCTCATGCCTGTATCGAATTTAATGAGTTTCATTTTCAAACATTCACAGGGATTTATATATATTGTGTATATGTACGTACCCAGGTACGAGTGGATAGACGGAGAAAGTCCCATTCGTTCTTGAGCATGTGGAGGTCGGAATGGCATATTCCACAGTAAAGGACTTTGAAAGTCACATCTTTGTCTCCGGTTTCTCTGAAAAAACGAAATAGACAGTTCATGTTAGTTAAGGATGAAATGAAGAAGGGAATAATAAGGATGCAAAAGATTGAATAATGAAGGAATTTTATATATGCCTTCGAGAGAAGTTGAAAGGAGAGAGAAGGCCAGAAGAATCCCTAGCAGCCCATCCGAAGGCCTTCCTGGGATGCTCAAACTCAAAAGCTTGTGCTCCGGCCATTTCAATACTTAAACACTTGCACAGACAAGAAGAATATTATACGGACAGATCAAAGATTATGGCAGACAGGAAGAGAGAGAGTGTGAGTGAAGTGGTGAGACTTGAGAGAGACGAATACGAGGAAGGAATGAAGGTGGGTGGAGGGTTATTTATAAGGGAGAAGGGGAGGGTGGGTCTTGACGAACTCGATGACGCACACTACTGCAACGCGTGACGTCAGTGCTGACGGGATTTATGCTTTGAACTTTTCGACCGCATGTGCCAAAAAGAAAAAAGGTCAGCCGTAAAAAATTGAAATTTTTTTTGTTCTATGATAATAGACATGTGAACTGTTTAAATCAGATTTTAATTATTAAAATTTATTTATCTATTTTTTGTAATAATATTTATTTTTATAAAACATTAAATCTGAATATTGAAATTTTGACTCAATAGTTGTAGAGAAAAAAAAAATACTCCTTCGGTCCTTAATATAGGACCTAATTATTGAGTTGGTTTTGGTCCTAAATACAAGACCCATTTTCCATATTTATCAATTTTCTCTAAATTACCCCTATGGATACAATCATAATCAAGTAGACGAGAGAGAGGGATATTAAGAAAGATGATTATGGTGTTTAAAAAAAATGTGTCACATTTCTTATAATTAATTAACTTACCTAAAACTAATTAAAAGTTAAAAAAATTTATATAAGGACAGGATAATGGAAGGGCGGATGATGGAAAGGACGGTGGAGGGAATCCCAGTCCAAAAACATCTGCGGGTCAAATGGAATTCTACAGCATTTTTAGTAAAATATTACAAACAGTAAATATTTACCCAAATACTACATTGTGAGAATTATATACTGGGAATCTGAGATGCTGCATTTTAATAAACTCGATCACGCTCTAATGAAGTTTCACTCTGACACTTGCATTTTTTTAAAACAAAAGGGAGAACTCGTTCAGGCTGTGAACGATTTCACCTTTTCCTTTCTCATGTGGGGAGAAAATTACAACTGCATACCCTATCTTATCAAGCTGCCACCCCTTCCTTCTGAAGTTCGGAGAAAGTTGTAATTAATGCCCCATCTCTCATCCCTCTGTGTCTACTCCTTCCCTCTTCCGTTGTTCTAGATCTCCTTTCAAATAGGAAAGATATGAGTAAATTTTGTAAAAAATTACTTTTTATCTTAATACTTAAATTTAAGAAAAATAAATAAATTAGATTCATACAAAATGTTTATAGATCTTCACTAATATATCCAAATTACACATATTTAATTATAAAATATACACTATATAGGATTGGGATGGATCTTTCTCACCATCTCAATTGGATATAGATGATAAGGACAAAATTATAAACATTGCAGTTGCACTGTCCTTGAAACTCCATTGTTTTTGTTGCTTTCAAGACGAGTAGTTTGTGAGCTTGCAGTCAATTATATAGGATCGGGATTGATCTTTCTTACCATCTCCATTGGAATTAGAATTGTCAATGATAAGACACCGCCATTTTTGAATGAGTTTATGCCCTGTTTCCTTTTTTTTTTTTTTTAGTTTCCTCCAAAAGTTTTCAGCCCATTCGATAATTCCTTATCTCAGCTAGCAAGCATCTAAGGCGATGAAGAAGAGGAGAAGAGGTGAGTGAGGGAGAGTGAGGTTGCCGTCAGGTCATCATCGCCAATCCGAGTTCATGGTAAATTTGAAGCTTTATTTTTTTCAATTTTTTTTGTCAAATTTATGTGGAGAGCTGAGTTGGAAGTCCATAAAAGAATTTATAGCTATATTTTATTTTAGGCAAATGGCTCAATGATGACTTGGCATGGATTATAGATGATAAGGCAAAATTATTGACAATAAAAAAGATGAAGGATTGGGTTTTAAGTGAGTTAAACTTTTTGGAGTTGATTCATAACGAGTCATAGTTGAGGAGACTGAGTTCTAAACAAGTAAAACTCGAGGGATTAAAAGATTAATTTTCTCTCTCTCTGTTTTTTTTTTTAAAAAATCGAAACTGAATCCATTGCCCAAAAGAGAATACAAGCCGTACAATACTACGAAACTAAATCTGAAAAGTAAATGTAAGAGAGACTTTTAGCATAAATTTGCCATTTTGAACATAAGAAAAAAGTAAATTTGCCATGACTTAAAATCTCTAAATTATACAGGTGAAAAAATAAAAGAAAAACTTAAAATTATTAGTGAACCGCAATTCGATGAGAACGCTATAACAGCAAAATCAATTGTGATTCTGGCAACAACAACAAAAATTCTGATATCGGAGTAATTGGTTTTCGCAATTTCTTAATTGAACCTTAAAGTATAAAATCTCAAATCGGGATAGCCCAGCCGGGAAGTTACATCCTGTTCTTCGAAATTTCTCCTGCGCTCGCCGTTTATATCGCATCCAGAGCTCCGATCGTCCTCCAGCGGCATCCTCGTCTCATTTGTTGCCCTAATTTGTGAGTTCTCTACATTGGCCAGCAAAATGGTGTCTGGCTTAATAAATGCTAATCCTATCATCCACAAAAAGAAAGAGCGCCGAGCTCGCACTACGCCCACCTTCGCTGATGACGATGTTCCTGAACCGATTGATCAACAAGAAGTTTTTGATATGCTTTTCAACCATCAATTTATATATATGTTTTGTGTGCTTCTGTTTATGCAATTTTAAGGTCAGTTTGCTTAACATTCTTAAAGCATATAAGGGATATTAGAGACCCAGAGCATCCAAACTCCTTGGAAGAGCTCAGAGTAATAACTAAAGATGCACTTGAAGTCGATGATCAGCATAGTTATGTCAGGTATTGAACCGTTCGTTCATCTTTCCCCTCTCGCTCTTTGGCCTTAATTATGTCTGTGGAAACGTCCTTGTTATTTTGGATTCTGATGCTTTGCGTCAGGGTTACGTTTACTCCTACACTTGAATATTGTGCCGTGCCGAGCCTCATAGGTCTATGCTTACGGGTGAAACTCATGAGGAGCCTTCCTTCGCGCTACAAGGTATCGACATCTGTTTGCAGCTTGCCTTTTTTTTTTTCAGGCTAATAATCTAATGTGCCGACAAAATTTTTGTGGAAAATTGGGTCTTGACTCTTGACTCATGTATGCATTGAAATTCTTAGTATACCATATATATTGTGAATGTGGCTTGTCATTAGATTTCAGAATAGTGGAAGCAAGCAATATAGATAGACCTGCGGGTCCATGCAATAACATTCTGTTTGATTCAATATCGTTGTGGTTGCTTGCTTTTACCTTTAATTATATTTTTCTTGAGTATCGTAGGCTGTGTCTTGCATAACAGAGGGCACACACACACACACACACACGCACATATTATAACGATGAAAAGCCAATGTCCAATTCTGTTGGATGGTATAATACTACCAAGTGTGCTTACTCCTATCCATAACCCATGCATCATGTAAATTTCTATTATATGAACTGCAACATGAATGTACTGTCAATCACTATTATAATACACAAATTATCGATCTGTGGCACCCTTTTAAGTATAATGTATAGCATTCTTGGAGTTTAGATCAAATTCTACTGATTTTTAGACACCCTTTCTATTAAAGGTGTATCTTCTCGACTATCTTATTATCTTTTTTCAAATCACGGTTAGGTGGATATCAGAGTAGCGCCTGGATCTCATGTGAAGGAGGCTGAAGGTTCTCTCTCTCTCTCTCTATAAGTACATTTGTTTGTCAGTGAATGTAAAATCGGTGCTTTTAAAACTGATATAGAGAAATCATATTATTGCTTATTTGCTTGTTGATTTTGTGTTTCTTCAGTGAAGTGATGCGTACCAGTCATTGTCTTTTACAGCAGATTTTTAATCGTGTTATTGTTCCTGGAAATCAAATATATGTTTCTCCCACTAGATTCAGATTCAGATTCAATACCTCGGTTAACTTTGATGCTTGACTATTTTGCACATCTCACAATTTCCTTGATTGAGTCTTGAATTTTTCATTATAAATATTTGATTATGACTGCTGGACTTTCTTTTTTTCCCTTTGTTTAATTCAACTTCTTTTGCAATTGTACCTGCAGTTAATAAAAAACTAAATGATAAAGAAATGGTGGCTGCCGCACTGGAAAGGCCATACTTGCTGGAAATGGTTGATGAATGTTTAGCTCCATCTTTTGGTTGAAGGAGCTTTTCATCCCCCGATGCAATAATAAGATGTGGTACTCATTTTATGATTGCCAGCCTCATTGGTGATGCAATTTTTGCCTACTATACGTTCATTTGAGTTTCAGATTAGGAGTATGCAGCTGGAAAAAGTCATGGAAGTGATACTTTCATATGATTCTTTATTATGAGCTCCAGAAGAAGGAAAAATATGTTTTCTATTCTCATGTTTCTTTTCTTGGTTTTGTTAAGACTCTTTCTTGGTACTGTAAATTGAAAATAAAATCAGCCTTGTCCATCTGGTAGGAGCAACTGGGCTTTGTGTCTCTGCGTATTGCACTGCGCTCGAGCAGACTGCGTTATTCTCAATCTAAATTTATTTTTTTAAAAAAGATGTCAGTTATAATATTTTTTTTTAAATTCTGCATCTGTGAATAGATAATTATTTAAAATATAAAAAATTAAATTAAATTTGAATCATTTAAAATTAATCTAGATAATACAGATTATGATGAGCACTCCAGATAAGCATGAAAATATGAAATGTGTTCTCGCAGAATGGCTATGGTTGAGTTACAAGTTGTTCTGAGTCTGTAATACGATGGGAACGCTGGAACGGCAATTCGGATTTGGCAAAAGAAAGACGCTCTTCGTAAATACTGGCATTTGGAAAGCTGTACAAATACTTCAAATAAAAAAAGTTAAAATTACTAAATTTTAAGTTAGGGTTGATAATAATATTTATTTAGTAGTATTAATAATACCGAATTTATAAACAAACAACAAGCCTTATCCCACTAGGTGGGGTCGGCTACATGAATCACACGACGCCATCGTGCTCTGTCAACAACCCAATCCTTAGATATGTTGTTGATTAGAAGGTCTCGTTCAATGACCTCATTCAGCGTTCTTCTCGGTCTTCCCCTGCCTCTTTTTATGGGACTCCATCTTGTTTGATCCACCCTCCTCACCGGGGCCTCCAAAGGCCTTCTCTGCACATGTCCAAACCATCTTAAGCGATTTTCAACCATTTTCTCTTGGATAGGTGCCACACCGACTCTTGTCCTGATCTTTTCATTTCGAATCCTATCTTTTCTTGTATGACCACACATCCATCTCAACATCCTCATTTCTGCTACTCCGACTTTGTGCTCTTGTTTTCCCTTTATTGCCCAACATTCACTACCATACATCATAGCTGGTCTTATAGCAGTCCGATAAAATTTTCCTTTAAGTTTCTCAGGTACCTTCTTATCGCAAATAACTCCGGTAGCTTTCCTCCACTTTAACCAGCCAGCTTGTATTCTATGAGAAATGTCTCCATCAATTTCCCCATCCTCCTGTATAATGGATCCTAGGTATTTAAACTTTGATACTTGAGGAATAATTTGCTCTCCCATCCTCACCTCCAAATCCCTATTACCTTGCCTCCCTCCAAAATCACAATGCATATATTCTGTTTGTTCCTACTCAAACGGAAACCTTTCGACTCCAAAGTCCTTCTCCATAACTCCAAACTAGTGTTAATCTCTTCTTTTGATTCCGCCATAAGAACTATATCATCCGCGAAGAGCATGGACTTAGGGATTCTTTCTTGAACAGGTTTAGTTAGAACATCCAGAACAATGTTGAACAAGTACGGACTCAAAGAGGATCCCTGATGTAGGCCAATCTTAATAGGGAAGTCCTTTGTCTCCCCCCCAGGCGTCCTTACACTGGTAGTTACCGCCTTATACATATCTTGTATGACTTTGATATACGCAACCCGTACACCTTTCTTTTCCAAAGCCTTCCACAATACTTCTCTTGGCACACGATCATAAGCCTTTTCCAGGTCAATAAAAACCATATGTAAATCTCTTCTTTTACTTCTATATCTCTCCATTAACCCCCTTAGTAAATAGATTGCTTCCGATGTGGATCTCCCTGGCATAAATCCAAATTGGTTTTCCGAAATAGAAGTCTCCAACCTCAATCTATATTCCATCACTTTTTCCCACAACTTCATTGTATGACTCATAAGTTTTATCCCCCTGTAGCTTGCACAGTTTTGAATGTCTCCTTTATTCTTGTAAATAGGAACTAAAATGCTTTTCCTCCACTCATCCGGCATATTTTTAGAGCGTAGAATTTCATTAAAAAGCTTGGTTAGCCACGCCTCCCCCTCATCGCCCAAACATTTCCAAACTTCAATAGGGATACCATCAGGCCCAACGGCTTTTCCATTGTCCATTTTCTTGAGAGCCGCCTTAACCTCTCCGATACGTATCCTGCGGTAGAAAGCCAAATTCCGATCATCTTCGTTAATTAGCAAGTCCTGCAAGTCCTGAGTCGCATAATTGCTTCCCTCATTAAACAACTTGTAAAAGTAAGCCTCCCATCTGTCCTTAATATCACCATCAGTAACTAACACTTTACCATCTTCATCCTTTATACACTTTACTTGGTCCAGATCTCTCTTTTCCTCTCCCTTTGCTTCGCGATCTTGTAAATATTTCTTTCTCCCGTCTTTGTTCCTAACTCCTGATAAAACCCTTCATAAGCTTTAGTACGTGCTTCGCTCACTGCTCTCTTTGTCTCTTTTTTAGCCAACTGATACTTTTCCTGGTTCTCTACACTATTGCACAAGTGTATGGCCTTAAAACAATCTTTTTCTGTTTGACTTTCTCTTGCACACTCTTATTCCACCACCAAGTCTCCTTATCTCTTTGACCAGGACCTTTGGATTCTCCCAAATTGCTTTAGCTACCAAACGAACCTTGTAGCTATCTCTTCCCATGTTTTGCATTTCCCTGCAACTCCCAATTCCCTTCCTTCAAAAGAGTCCTTTTGAATAACTCCTCCCTTCTCTCCTTTTAACTGCCACCACTTAATTTTTGCCACTTAATGGTTGCCACTTGATGTACTCTTGCTGGTACTCTTAAAAATACATCAAGGATAAGTACTCTATGTTGGGCACTCACCCCGTCTCCTGGAATCACTTTGCAATTAGTACACAATCAATCTTCTGTCCGATTCTTAACCAAAAGAAATCAATCTGTGATTTTGAGACACCACTTTTGTACGTGATTAAATGCTCCTCTCGCTTCTTAAAACAAGTGTTGACAATCTTAAGATCGTATGCAAGAGAAAAATCGAGAATAGATTGTCCTCCACTATTAAGCTCCCCAAAACCAAAACCCCATGGGCCCCGCTGAATTGTCCTGCTTCTTTACCAACATGTCCATTAAGGTCCCCACCGATAAAATTTTTTCTTCGAGTGGTATGCTTTGAACCAAGCCCTCCATATCTTCCCAAAACTTATCTTTAAGGTGTGTCTCTGCCCCAACCTGAGGTGCATAGGCACTAATGATATTGATAGTATCCTTTCCACAATTACTCTTAACGATATTATTCTGTCCTCAAACCTTTTAACCTCTACCACGTTTTTTTCCATGTCCCATCAGCGATGATACCAACCCCATTCCTTGTGCTCACTCTTTCCTGTGTACCAAAGTTTATACTCTCCAAGTTCCTTGGCAGCTTCTCCAGTCCATTTGGTTTCTTGGAGGCATAAGATATTAATCCTTCTGTCCCTCATAACTCCTGCTACTTCCATAGATTTCTCATTTAACGTCCCAATATTCCAAGTGCCAAATCTAATCTCAGTCTCATGAACTAACTAACTTCTTTAGCCTCCTCCGTCCAAGAGAGTGCGGTAGCCCTTGCTCATTTAACCTACATCCATCCGGGCGACGATGCAGCGGCTCTAGCTCATTTCTCACTGTACTCGAGCCATACAGCGCGTCACATCTGGGCAACGACCTAGCATTAGCATAATTACTTCGTTCGTTGATCCATGTTCATGAGATTCGACGGGTTTTTACGTTGGCTGTCGAGGGCCTAACACAACCCTCCTCCTTTATTCCGGGCTTGGGACCGGCTATACAACATAGGCGGAGTTATTACA